AGAGAGAGAGAGAGAGAGAGAGAGAGAGAGAGAGAGAGAGACTTGTGCTTCTTCCAAGACTGAAGGCCAATGCCTGCTTTCCTCACTGTGTTAAAGCTAGGTGCCTGTTACTGTCAGGAGAGGGAAAATCAACATCATGTCATGAGGGGGGTCTTGAGCAACTCTGGTTCCAGCTGCTGCCTCATCCCTAGATAAAGGGGATCAGAGAACACTGACCTACTTTGACTATTAGCCCTGCTCTCACTCAGACACTGGCACTGAAGCAGCAGGGGCCAAAACAAATAGGTTTTGTTGCTACTCTGCTCGGTAGTTCCCACGACTGCTCTATCTGTGCATCTTGTCTGAGGGACTGTCAAGCCTCCATTGAGCGCCACAGAGGAAGCACTGAGTCCTTTTGAGTGTCTTTCTTTTCAGGGTTTGTTGGAGATGGATGGTTTCAGACACCTCTTGCTAGTAGCAGAGTTCAGTAGAGGTCATTGTGCCCACTGTAGGAGTAGTGACACACTGGTCAGCTTCCACCCAGTGTTCTCTATTGTTGACACGTGGCCTGTAGAGACAGTGGTCTTCTGGGCTCTGTAACAGTATCCATTGTGCCCAAAGTCACTAACCACTGTTAAAGAAACTACAGTGAAATGACAGTATGGCATCCAGCTAGATGCAAAATCACCAATGACCGTGACCCCAAGACAGTTTTAAGAGAAACCTTCTTAAGCACTTTATAAAAGTGGTATAGATACCTATCTACTAGATGTACAAACCCCAGTGAAGGGATACAACAAATATGAGAAACAAATACCACAAGGTGATATGACAGCTCCAAAAGAATGTTTTTTTTTGTAACTTTTTTAGTCAAAATTTTGTATTGTGTGTATATGCATATTACATGATCTGTGTATGCACTGTGGCTTGCATGTGGAGGTTATAGGGTAACTCTGGAGTTGATTCTCTCTCTCTACCTCTTATATGGGTTCTGGGATGGAACAGTTGCCAGGTTTAGGCAGCAAGACCTTTTACCCACTGAGACACCTCAATGACCCCCCAAGAACATAGAAGTCTTTATCAACAGACTCCAAAGAATTCAAATGGATGAAATGCTGATAAAGAATTTAAAATAATTATTACAAAATATCTCAATTAAAAACCTTTGAGAATAAGGTTAATAGCTAAATATAATTAGGAAGACAGTACAGAATATGTATTTGAAATACCACAGAAAGAAATTTTAAAGAAAAAAAAAACAAATTTTGGATATGAAGAGCACATTAAGTAAGAAGAAAATACACCCAACACCAGTCCACTACCCCAAACCAGCTAAGAAGACCCAAGAGCTGACCATATAAATGGAACCTGAATTTGGGTCTTTTAAAAAATCTAGTTAAAGCTGTGCATGGCATTCACACCTGTGATCCCAGCACTTAGGAGACAGAAAGATAGACCTCCAGTGAGCCTAATGCCAATCTGACTTACGTAATGACTTCTGGGGCACTAGGACTACAGCTACATGGCAAGGTCCCATTTTGAAGAACCACAAGCAACCAACCTTTCAAAAGAAGAAGAAACCGAAGGAATCCAGGACTACCAGACCAAAAGATGATTATAACCTCCATCACAGAAGCACACAGAAAGCTAAACCCCACTAAAAGAGAGGTACACAGGAGAAATAGGTAAGAATACTGTTTATAGTACACATAACCAAATCATGAAAATGAACCAGAAAAAGAACAAAGAATATCCAAAACAAGTAAAGGATAACAAAAGCCAAATTGATTAAAATACCATTAAAAGATATAGGATGAGCTTGTCCTGGTAATGCATACCTAGCACTCAGGCGACTGAGTCTAGAGGATTGCTATGCCATCAAGGTTAGCCAGGGGTGCATGGTGAAACCTCATCTCAACAACAACAACAACAACAAAAGATACACTTTGTCTAAATGGACTAAAACCCAAGACCTATTGGGTATGGTAACACATACCTGTAAATCAGCACTCATGAGCCTGAGAAAAAAGGATTTTGAGTGAGGACAGTCTAGGTGCTAAATTGTAAGACCCCGCCTAGGAGGGAGTGGAAACTGATTGGTATATAAAATAAATGAAAAAAAAAGTTATTTAAAGAAAAGAAAAAAAGAAAAAGAAAACAGACAAAGGAGGCCCAACAATATGCTGCCTAGGAAATTCCCTTCCCCAGGAAGGACAGGGTGAGGCAAAGGATGGAAGATGGGCATGAAGTAACAACAGTGGCTACTTTTGCTGGACAAGACAGACTTTAAAGAAAAATTCATAAGCAGCAGGCCAATGAATTCATGAATCAGTTCAACAAGGAAATTTAAAAGGGATAAATTTATATCCACCGAATGTTAGAGCACACTACTGTATGACACAAACACTATTGAAGAGACTGGTCTTGGTACAACAATGGTGAGGTATTTTAATATCCCATTTTTATTAATGGAGTCAAACCCCACCCCCAGAATATCAAGAACCATCAGAGTTACTCTGTATTATGTATCAAACGAACATAACAGAAATTAACAACAGCTGAAGAATACAAATTCTATTCATCAGCCCTGGAACTCTGCAGAATAGATCCCACATTAAGTCTCAAAAGAAGTCTTAAACAAGGAAAGGAAGTAATTTGCTTTTCTGATCATACAGAATAATACTAGAAGTCAACAAGAACAAACTTTCAGACATTATATAAATACATGGAAACTGAACAGCACACTTCTGAATGAGTAGTTCACTCAGAAAATCAAAAGGGGACTTTTTTTTTTTTTGAGACAGGGTCTCTCTGGCTATTCTGGAACTCAATATGTAGACCAGGCTGGCCTCAAGTGATGGGATTAAAGCTTTGTACCATCTCACATCTGGCTCAGGAGTTCATTTTTTTTTCTTTAATAAAATGTGGGATTCAGCAAAGGTAATATCAAGAAGGATGTTTATAGTACCTACTGCCTACATGACATGGTATCTGAATACCAGCAAAACACAGTGTTTTCGGGAGGAGAGAAAGATCAATCAGAGCAGAAAAAGAGAAAAGAAAAGAAATGGTGTGTTGTGTGTGTGGTCTCTGAAAAAAAAATTATACAATAGATCATTACATAAAGTTGGTTCTTTGAAAAAATACAGCCAGTAAACCTTTACTCAGACTTGTCAAAGAAAAATAAAAGCTCCAAATGAAACAAGAGATGTAAAGGGACATAGTACAACTAAATGCCACAGAACTATAGTTTCATTAGAGACAGTATGAAAAATGATCCGTTAAACTGGAAGGCATATAAGAAATGGACACATGATCTATAAGCACTCAACTATGAGGATGATAAAACCTGAATAAACCAAAGCAAGTTCCATAATAAATGTGAATTAGCAATAAGCTTCCTAACAGAAAAGCCTAGGAATAGATGGATTCACTATTGAATTTTAGGAATCTTTTAAGGAACGAAAACCAGCAAAAGCATGGAATTGGAAGGGAAGGAGTCCTTTCTAGTCCATTGGGAGATTACCCTTATCCTGTAAGGAAAATGCATGGGGTAAGGTGTTTATGATAAGGATATCATAAACATGCAAAAAGTATTTAACAAATAGGATATCAGCATCATTCACTATGATTTACCTTTACCTTACAGAAGTGAAGATGATCCAATATACCCAAATTAGTAAATAAAACATCACATCAACAGAATGAAGGATAAACTATTATTTCAATAGAAAAATAGCATTTGATGAAATGTAATATCCCTTCATAGTAAAAATACTACATAGATATAGAAAGAGCTACTTCAACATAATAAAAGCTAAAAGCTGAATTCTTTCCTCTTTAGAACAAGAATGGGACAGGTGCACCTATTTTATTGATCATATACACAATGCACTTCCACAAAGTTTTAGTGAGAGCAATTAGACAAAAGAAATAAAAGGCATACACATAGAATGAAGAAAAC